ATGCTTCACAATCCAACTCAAAATGGCATAAAGGAAACCCTAGATTCAAGGAATCTATCAAATACACGAAATGGGAAGGAACTTGTACCTCAAAACCTAAATCTCAGTGTGAACAACATAGATCCAAGCTCCACCATCGATCTAGCTTGGATTTTCCCACTCCTTCTTGCAAGGTCACACCAAAGGATGAAGAATTAGCCTCCAAAATGCTCTCTAAGCTCTCTTTGCTCTCTAGGGTTTTCACAGGGGAGTAATGGCTGCAAATGACAGCCATAAGGGCCTTTAAATAGGCCTCATGCCCTGAGATTTAGGGTTTCATTTAACAGCACGGACTCGCCGAGTCCACTCGTCGACTCGTCGAGTCTGGTCGTTAATCTAGACAGAGTTCGCGATCCTGCTCGGCGAGTCTGAGCGCTTACTCGCTAAGTCCCTCCCTAAATCTCAAGATAAATACTTAAAATAAGATACCTAGGAATCCGGATGTTACAGTAATATCATATAAATCTTAAAACCTAGAGATATGAGTTGTTGACTATGAGTTGGTTATACATTGATTGTACGAAAACGCATTGGTAACTCGATGTTATAAAATGTTCCTTTGTGTATAATTCAACAAGTAGTAGAACAAGCATATGAGTCGAAGTTTATTTGTTCCTTCTTGGATTAGAAGCGATATTTGGTCCCTTGATAATTTTTTTTACCTATGTACCGGGCCCGGTCAGAACTAAATTGATGTGTTTGATTAAGTTCTATGTCAAATAAATCGGAAATCTGGAAACAAACTGTTGGATAATAAGTACGACATTGTTCCATGTATTTTTCCGGCTGATATCATGAGAGCAGAGGATTTTATGATCACTTATCTTAAATGGCATAACATCATTATCTCCATTCCGAGAGACCTTTATAGAGCTATGATTGCTACTCAGTTCGTGAAGTCATACTTGCAGTAATAGTTATTAGACTTATCCAAGTGGGAGACTATTGGATAAGGTGTCTAAGTCCATAACTATTTCTGGTATGTACTTGACCCAGTTTGGCATGGTCCATTTGGGTTGCATGGTATCATGCACTTGGGTAGACTAAAATGAGAGAAAAGATGCTTATGGTTATTAATATATTATGGGTTGTGATATATTAATAATATTATTTAATTAGTATTGATCAAGAATTAATTTAGAAGTAATTTTGTGATCAAAAGAAGACTAATTAAATATATGGGCTAATTGTGTAATCATCCATTTCTTTAATAGTAGGCTTGCAGTCCATGGTGTATTGAGTTGGGCTAAAACCCATGAGGTACTCCATGGATGCTCCATGGTGGTTTCGAGCCCATGGATCCAAGAAATGAAAAGTCACATCATTTAGGGTTTACATGGTGTAACCCTACTTGTGACACACTATAAAATGGATGTGTTAGCTACCAAATTCAAGACTAGTGAAGAACAACAGGGCATAGCCTAAGTCTAAGAGTGTTGCATTCCTCTCTAAGTTATTCAAAGTGTATTTGCTGTTGTGTGAAGCATTTGAGGCGTCACATTTGGTGTGTTAGGCTCACAAGATTCTTAAAGGAATTCCAGCAAGAAAAGGTATGTATTTCTTACTAGCTTTCATGTTTAAAAGTTCCCCATGTATGCTAGATAGGTTATGAACCTTGGAAAATCAAATTTCTATATATCGTAGTAAAACATAGATCCAAGATTTCTAGGGTTGCATGTACACCATAAGAGTGTTAGAATGCTCAAAACCCATCAACTTCTTACTAAAATATATACCTGCTGAAAGAGAGATCTAGCAGATGACAAAAAGAAACTACGAGAATCAACAACATATGGACAACTTAGCCAAAGATTATGAGAAGCCACTCCAAGTTTCAAGTTATGTGCATTAAGATCCTTAATGCCAATTGGATTCAGCAACATGTGGTTAATAGTTTAACAAGAGACAAACAGAATCAGAATCTCTATTATGCATTATGCTAGCTTGTAGTTCACACTCAGTGTAATTTTAAACATCAGGATCAAAAAACCAAGTTTGTGAATATCTTTTACAGCACATCAGATGTGCTTTTTCCTTGAAATTATGTTGCTACTTGAGATACTATAGAAAGGAATCCCTGATCCACCAATGCTACAAAAAAAATTAGAATTATGCAAAGACAATTTGTCAGATAGAGAATAAAGAAAGCCAAAACGAGATTCGTACTTAAAAAGTTTGTCAGGTGTCTTGTCTAGAACTATATCATCATCACCAAGAACCTTCTTTCCAATAGGATCAAACCCTCCAAAAATAACCTAGAATTCACCTAAATAACCTTCCTCTTGTAGTTTTCTATCATCTGAAATGATTTATAAAAACAAAAATAAAAAAGGTGATAAATGTGAATCTAATCATATCATATGCTTTGAATGTATATCCCATAACAACAATTGCAACATTGCATGTTACCTCATGATAAGTGTCCTTAAAATAATGAATAACCTTGAGAGCTTTAGCTCTTTCTTGAATGTTTGCGTTTGCTACATGGAATTGAAAGATCTTCTCTTTAGTATCCAAGATAAACACATTATCATGATTCAACAAAGATCGAAAGAATTGAATCTGTTTCACATGGACAACTCTTTTCCCTTTACATATGTACAATCTTGTTTCAAATTCAATTTTTTTCAGGTTTCTTGAATCCAGTTGCAACTGTTGGATTAATGTCAAAGTCCATAACTATAAATTGTAAGACTTGACCCGACCCGGCATGGTCCATTTGGGTTGCATGGCATCATGCATTTAGATACACTATAATGAGAGAAATAACACTTAAGGCTTGTTAATATATTATAAATTCTAATATATTAATAAGATTATTTAATTAGTATTGATCAAGAATTAATCGAGGATTAATTAAGTGATCAAAAGAAAACTAATTAAATATATGGGTTGATTGTGTAAATTATCCATACTTGTATAGCGGGCTAATGCTTCATGGATTGTCAAGTTGGTCTAAAACCCATTGTTGAATTCTAAAACTCTTAGATCGATTAGATCTTTCACAAGAACGATACAAGTAATGAAACAGTTTATGATTAATATGAGTATGAACACAAAACAAAATCAAACTTATGCTTATGATTCAAAACTGAGTCACGCCTCATCAGAGCTCGATGAAGAACTTCCGCTGTAGAGGCAAGCTAGGGTTTAAAATCTATGAAAATGAAAACAATGAAAGCAATAACATCTAAGTCTGCATGCATGCAGCTTATATACTAAACCTTAATACAAAGTAATGCACGGCTAGACAGGCCCAATACCGACATTCAAACTAGGTTATGGACTGAGCCCATAACGCAATCCACTAGTCTCAACAATCTCCCCCTTTGCGTCAGATGGGGCCAGAGATTATTTCTTTTGAGCAGGCCTCACCATCTTTATAACTTTAAATAGTTTAGGAATAATGGCAAGAAGAGTCTGTCATAATAGAATGTACCACCTCAGCATGTGGATGAACAGCTTTTTATCATCAACATTGTTCTAGTTGCACCTCTGTATGATCTCCAAGATATGCTCAAGACAAGACGTCGAGAAGAGGTGTTTGTCAACAAGAGCGAACATACATTTTTGACCTTCGCCCCTGAGAAACATGACCGTGTGATACTTCGAATCTATCTTCCCCTTGATCATGGAATTGACATTGCCAGCTCCGCCCATGGGTTTGATTGGTGGTCGCTTGTGTATGGCAGAGGCAATTTCCTGGTCCATCTTCGCTACCTCATGTATGTAGCAAACAAGCATACGCTTGACATGATCGATTATTGGCTGATACTCCTGTGGATTTGACAAAAGAATGTTGTTGAGGAGTATCCAGTCATGGGGGTTGAGGTTTGGTAGATCTGCAAGGGTAAAATGGTAGACTGAGCCTTCGGTTCCTCTAGTCACCCTGAATTTGACATTGATAAATTTCCCTGCTGAATAGGGCTTCATCACCTTGACCGTAGTTATCTTCTTTGAGCTCCAGGTCAAGTATTAGGGTTGAGCAAACTCCAAGTAAAACTCCAGAAGATCCCGGTCTAACTTCGGGTCAGGAGATGGAATAGCAACAGTTGAGTTGAAGCAGTGGAACATGAATGCCTTTCGAGTGATTGGCATGTCGAACTGAGCATCTTTGGAGTTATCAAGGCCAAAGGACATAATTGGCTCGAGTCAGAGAACAGTTGGCTCATTGATTGCACACCTCTGAAGTGAATCTTTTGTCCATACAGGGCACATGACCTTTTTCTTCTCTAGGAGCTCCGCCTCCTTTCGCTTCTGTTCTAGCTTAGCTCGCTGCTTCATGGAGATTTCTTCAGTTTTTTTTTTTCAGAAGTGTTAACCTTTGGGACAGGCTTCTTGGGAATCTCAACATAGACATCATCTTCGTTGTCTGTATCATCTTCACCAATCTTCTTCTTTTTCTTATCCTTGTTACTGACCGAAGCTTCATTACCCTTCGGTTCAGCAGTTGGCTTGGAGCTAGATAGAGGAGGTTGCTTCGACACTTTCTCTCCGCCTTGTTGCGGTTGGACCCCAGTCACCGAAACACCCTCGATACGGCTGAGCACATCCAGTGCCGGTCTGAGTGTGTCTGCCAAATGCCTTCTGATGGTGATAGTGATAAGTGGATCATGACCTTCAAGAAGATGAAGAAGGATAGAGTGAACATCTACAACATAACTCCATATAACCTCCCTTTCAGACTTGAAGTCATCAATCTCAGCATTAGCAGTTTTCAGTTTGTGTGTTTGCAATTTAAGCTGAGCTCTGCGTCTGGCAAGCTCATCCATAATTCCATTTTCCATAGCTAAGTCCGCTTGCAGTTGAGTCAAGCATTTGTTGACATTAGCATGGAACGTGTCATTAGACTGTTCAATAGTAAGGCGTGTCGCTTCAACCATCGAGCACTCAGATTAAAGAGTCTGTTGAAGAGTCTCTACGGAAGTGTTGACAGTGTCAGCATTCTTAGCAGTAGCCGCCTACAAGGAATCTAGAAATAGTTGAGCCTGGGAAACTAGTTTATTGACTTTTGCGGTCGCTTCCTTGCACTCCTTAGTAGAGGCATCAACAGCACGAGAGGCCTGTTGACATTGGGATATGGAGGCTTCAATAGCCTTGGCTGTAGCGGATAATGTGGCTGAATGTTCAGCAACAACCGAAGAGAACAGGGCCTTTAATGCAGCGTCGGAATAAGCTCCTGAGGAAGAGGAGGAAAGCAGTTGATCAAGCTTGTCGTTTACTGCTTTGAGATGACGTTTGGTGATAGGCTCATCGTCATCATCCTCACTTTGTACTCGATAAGGACTGAAATATGTGGAGTCGAATTCCAAGTCCTCGCTGCCCAAAATCGGGGTTGTTTCTATAGAAGGAGTTGGAGATAAAGGTTTTGAAGAAGGTGGAGGTTCAGTTGTTATAGGAGGTTCGGTTGTTAGAGGAGGTTCGGTTGTAAAAGTAGGTTCGGTTACAGGTCGTTTGGGAGCGGTAAAGGTAGGTTTAGCAGTAGTGGTAGAGGTTGTATTTGTGAAAATGGGAGTGGGAATAGGAATAGTGGTGAAGGGTTGAGAGGTGGTTGTTTGAGAGATAAGAGGGATAGAAATAGGAATTGTAACAGGTGTAGGAGAAGGAGGCAAGGAACGAACTAGAATTTCTGGAGTAGGGGAGCGAGGCGGACTGTCCCCTCGGTTCGAAGCCTCTTCATCAGAACTTTTGTTCTCAGAATCTGAAGATGGAGTGTTCTTCTGCTTAAGAGGAACATATTCTGAATCCAAATCGCTTGAGGATTGAAGAATAAGACTCCTAGCAGGCTTCTTCCGCTTTTTGGATTGAGGTTGAGAAGGAGCAGCTTTATCACTTCTTCTCTTCTTGGGGGTCTTCCCCTTGGTTGGTTTTGTTACCGGTCCCTCCTTATGCGGTTTAGGCTTCTTGCCCCTCTTGGCTGGTTTGTTAGCCTCTTCAATGGACCGAAGCATTGTAGGAGTAAGATCACGTGGACCAACGGATTTACGTTTCCTGTATTGTTGAAGAAGTTTGCTCGATGCTGAGATACAACCGAGCATGGTTTCAGGAATAGAGCCGATGTATGAGAAATTTATTGGATCAGTAACGATGATTTTTCGTCGTATGAAATGTGGCGATAGAAGAAAGCAAGGAATTCGCCATAATTGGGACATGATTACGGTCCATTGCCCATTTGGTGATTGTATGGTTTCAAAGCACTCCATGGATGGTGTCAATGGGCCCCTTTGATGAATTCTAGGTTAAAAGCCCAAGACTTGTCTTTTCCCTATAAATAGTCATGTATTATTCATAATTAGGGTTAAGAGAGTGAGGCAAAATGTAGCCGCCACGTTGTGAGGTTTCTTGTAGAGTTAGATTCTTATTTTCTTAAGTGTAATTTGTTCCTCACAATTCAATAAATCGAGTGTTCATTCGACATAATCTTCATATTTGTGTTTGTTCTTATTTTCCGCATCTTGTTCATCAAATCTTAATTAGGGTTTTAATCCCAACAAGTGGTATCAGAGCGGGTCTTTGAAGATCTATTGATTTTTGAAGTATCGGTTCTTGATTTGGTGATTTTCTGCACATATATTGAAGATTATTGGTGTTTTGGTGGTATGGAATCAAAATGTTGTTCAAGTTACTGCTCATGGAAATTTATGTTGTTCATCACTGTTCATCTGGTATTTTTTTTATTCATTCTTCTGCGATCTGGTGATTAGCTTAATCCAAAAATCAGTCGATTTTAATCATTTGTTTTGACCCAATTGGATCCATTAGTGTCTTATCTTGATCTGGCCCAATCCTTTGGCCGATTCACTGTTCATGATCCAACTCTTTTTCCGTAATATCACATTCGATTTCCGTTTGTGTCATTTACCTTACGTGCTCAATTCATCCATTTATTCATTCTCTCAAGATCAATCAAGATTAACAATCGTTGCTTGTATCATTGTCGACTAAAGGATATTGATTTGTCTTCAGCAATTCTGATGAATCGATTTCTGTTTGACTCTTTTCAAGTTCATTATTTTCATCGTTTTTCTTGTTCCGTTCTTACTATTGATTTTATTTCATTCGTTTCTTGTTGAACTATAAAATTATTGATGATCTCTGAATGAAATTGATCTGTGGAGTATCGACTTATTGTTGGATGGAAATTTTGGAGTCCTGTGATGATCAATTGAGAAAACGTCGGTCAACGAATAAAAAGTCAAAATTGAAATAGAGGTTTCTTTTGATCGGTGATCTTATCTGCTCGCAACTCGTTGATTAACATTTCTAAATGTTCGTTGTGTAATGGGTCTCGGAATTAATGAAATCAGAATACGAAATTAAAACGAATGGAGTCGAAATCGAAGTGTGATGTTCAATTGTTTGGCATACGGAACTTGAACTGGCTTTGAAATTGGAACTCTTATCCCCATCGAAATTGGGTCGCTGATTCGCAATCGGTATTGTGATGTTGGATCGATTGATTCGGAATCGGAATTATGATTGGGCTTGTATTCGTCACTCACATCTACATCAGAAACGAACCCGTGTTCGGGACCTAGTGTTCGCTGTTGGGTTGTTCAGAGTTTGGAATTGATTTGGAACGAAAGGAGTGAGGTTCGGTTGGTAGCTCTTGGAACGAACCTCGATCTTGGGTTCGCGTGTTTATGCTGGGACTGAAATAGGAGATGAACCGAAAGCGAACCTGTGATTCGGCTTGGCTAAGGTTTCGCTCCTTATTCTAATCGTGATGCTCGGTTTTGCTTTTGTATCAATGAAACTGGGTTCGGTTGTTAATGGTTGGAGAAAACGAAGGATGAACCGAAAGCGAAAGGAGTTTCGCCTGATATGGAAATAAGAAACGAACCGAACGTTCGGTTGTGTTCGCGTGAATAAATGGCGGTCTTGAAACGAACTTAGGTTCGGTTGCTTGTACTTGAAACGAAAGTATGATCTGTAGCATTTGTTCCAGTCGCGCATTTCTTTTATCAGTCATATATATTGGGGAAGAAGACTTAATGATTCATTTTTGGTCCCTGAAACTTCAGCGAATTGGCTCTTTTGGTCCCTGTTGTTTTCACAGTTTGGTATTTTTGGACCATTTCCAGTTTTTGTTACAAATGAAGGGGTGTATTGATGCAAAAATTCCATTCCAGCCCCTGTCTTTCAGCAAGTGACAGTTTCTGCCCTATATTCAGAAAAGTTTACAAATTTGAGGGCTGGTGAATAGTTTTGAATTCTTTAACGCACATATTTTTTTCGTGAACAGAAAATTATGGATTCCATCAAGTCTTGGCGGTTCGGAAGGTCGTTTTTCGTGATATCATCAAATTTTTCACGACTTTTTCGGATTTTATACTTCATTGTGTATATCGTTTTGTCGCGGGGGAGCTTAGTAATTTTTTTTTATCCATTCAAGATCATTCTCATGACCATTTAAAGGCTTTATAATCATGTTTTTGATTATAAATCGGGGGAGAATTTGGTATGGCCATTCGAAATTGGATTTGTGACTTTTCAAAGTTGAAGATTTTTGATAAAGCTTATGGTAGAATTATGAAGGTAGCTTTTACAGCGGAAGTTCTTCATCGAGCTCTGCTAAAGCTTTTACAGAGAAGTATCCTTTACAGCGGAAGTTCTTTATCGAGCTCTGCTAAGGACTTGTTATATCTCCGACTTCTTGTATTTTCTCGATCAAGTGGCGTTACGAATCATAAAGTTTGGGTTGTTACATGATATTTTTTGATGGCTTATATCATTAGCTTATTTGAAGATCATTGTGACTTGGAGGGGGAGCTCTTCAAAGACAAGAAGTGATTCGGTTTCTTTGTTCTGAAATGGGTTTTTATGGCGGGTTTGGTTTTCATGAAGATTCTTTGGGATTACATTCGAAAATGAAGTTTAAAGACATTACTTCAGTGCCTCATTTATATATCCTAGAGCCCGTGCTTGAAGACTATTGAAGAATCAAGATTCGTGGATTGCTTCATATATTCCTCGTTGCAGATCTTTTTATTTGCTAGATGCTTGTTTTGGAAGTTAAAGCATTGTCATCCATTCCATACTTTGAGGGGGAGATTGTAGGGTTTCAAAGCACTCCATGGATGTTGTCAATGGGCCCCTTTGATGAATTCTAGGTTAACAGCCCAAGACTTGTCTTTTCCCTATAAATAGTCGTGCATTATTCATAATTAGGGTTAAGAGAGTGAGGCAAAATGTAGCCGCCACGTTGTGAGGTTTCTTGTAGAGTTAGATTCTTATTTTCTTAAGTGTAATTTGTTCCTCACAATTCAATAAATCGAGTGTTCATTCGACATAATCTTCATATTTGTGTTTGTTCTTATTTTCCGCATCTTGTTCATCAAATCTAAATTAGGGTTTTAATCCCAACAGTGATTATAGTCCAGAAACGCCCACATGAAATCTCCGAATTCCTGGACAAAGAAACTAGGCTTTGAACCAACTGCTACCAAATAATGGATCCATAGTCTAGATTAAGCCCACTGTACAGCCCATACAGCACCGTCATGAATTCCTTGCTAGCACCATCGGAACAAGCGCTCCGCTCAGTCAATCCCTTGAATAAGAGCGTGAAAAGACCATTCCATTGAGGAGGAAGGCAGGACTTCTTGAGCTTCATGACAGTTGTTAGGGTTTCGGTATACCTCATCTGATAAAACATTGTGAACAGTTGGCCAGTTGTAATGAAATCAGGGTTTACCAGAGACGGATCTTGAGAAAGACCAATTAGGGCACATAATTGACTCTTGGAGATAGAGACCTTCACATCGTGAAGTTCAAAGTGGATCTGTTCATTAGCCTTGTCGTAGAACGCCGTTGAGTAGACAAGTGACAAGAACGACATCGGAACAACTTCAACCTTTGTCAGTGCGTCGACGAGTGGTGAGTATTTGAGACACTCAACCACATACAGCATAGAAGGATCATATACGAAAGGAGTGAGATCAATGATTAGGTTCTGTTGGGGTTTGATAGTGAGTAAGGGTTGACAAACTGAGTTATCGTGAAAAGATGAAGATTCTGCCATTATAGGAGCTTGAAGACGACTATGAACAGTTGCAGAAAATCGTCAGGTTACTTTGAGAGCTTTTTGGAAGTGACAAAGGTTGAGAGAGTACCATTCCAATTCCTTTTATACGTACAAGGAAGAGAGAGAAGAATCTGGCTGAAATCTTGGATTATCTCAAAAATAGCACCAGAGGTGATGTGTGAACAGTTGGAGTGCCGAAGATGACGCAGGAGAGAGAAAAACATTTCCCTTTTTCACACCTTTTCATAAAAGTCACCTTTTTCAAATCGCCAAACCGTTTGGATTTCGGCTGAGTTAGCTACCACTTTATCCCAATCGTTTCCCCTTACGACGCTTGAGAGTTTGTTCCTTGAGCATTTGAATCATTAATCTGTGTGAAACTTAGAATTTGGAAAATTAAAAAATTTCGTGCAAAGGGTGTAAAAGATAAAAAAAAATAAAAACGGGTATTTTTGGGATTATATGTGTTGTCGTATTTAGACATAAAACGATTGATTCTAGGAAAAAATCACTTCCTTCAAAGTCAAGAGAGACATTGAAGTGCTTGCTTGGTTTCCCATGAAATAACGATCAATAACTTGTTGAGAAGTTTTGAAAGGCTTCTTTTAAAGATTAAAGTGGGTGGCTTTCGCTTCAATTCATAATTTTGATACTTAACATAAGACCAAAAGAGAATGAAGTACTTGTGAGATCATTGTGATCTGTTGAACAAGTAGGTGAGAAATGCTTTATAGTGACGAGAGAATTAAAGAAATCTCAAAAAAAAAAGGATCTTTTAGGGTTAGAGAAGCGTTGGTGAAAGGCAATCTCATAAAGACCACTCAAAAAGAAAAAAAAATATTTCATAGGATAACAAGTAAGATCTTGAATTATTAAATTCACCATCAATTCATTAGTGGTGTTGAATTTTGGGTTTTACTTAGTACATTGTAGCATGTGACTAAGATCATGAACATAGATTTTGTATTACCATAAACTTCAACGGTTAAGACTGAGAGTCTCAGGGGTTATATTGATGAAACGAATTATAGTGGAGAAAGATGATGGAGATGGTATAAGAAGCAAAAGTACCTCTGCATAAAAGAAAAGAAGGACTAAGCAGAAAACTCTAAACTCAATTTGAGT